CCTGCCAGTTTACTTACTATAGGGAGATGATAGAGCTTTACGGTAGTCTGACCTATAACTGGACTTCTTGCATATGAAGTGGTATTTTACATGCCTTGTCTTTAAATTACGTGTAGTAGTGTTCATAAATGAAGACCGTGCCAAGGTAAATACGATTGTCTGACTCTTCTAACGGTTCCCTAATGCAGTCATGCCAGAGCGATGGTACATGTGCCCCGATACCCTGAGAACTACAGCTGTTATGGGACATTGAATTGGGAAGGCAACTTCTGTGAAACAGAAACTCTATTCTAGTTTTCAGTTTACTTACATATTTTGTGTTTGCTGTTTGGTCTCTGGGTTGTGGGGTTTTTTGTTTTGTTTTGCAGGTAGGGGTGTAAAATACAGTCGCAAAAATTGAGGGGAAAAAACCAAACTTGTGAAGTCTGATAGGTCATACAAATTAAGGCGAGCAACATTCCCTGGAGTATTTTGGAGGTGATCCTTGCTCTTTACCCTGCTAGCTCCTAACTAGTCTTTCTGGTGGTTTCTGTCAAATTACTAGTGTAAAATTTCTACAGCATTCGGCCTCTGGACCCCAACCTCTAAGCACTGCAGTGTTGTGTTAAGGTAAATGTCCTCGTTAAACCAACTGTCCCTGGCAAGTTAATGAAGGCTGTGAATGCTTGCTGTGGTATGGGGCTGGATGTCACAGGAAATTTTTGAACAGCACCATATGAACTGGGCTTTCTGCTCTATGGAAAAGTATTAACAGTAGTTGCCCAGGAGCACTTGTTACTCTTTCGCAACCATGAACATGTTTTTCTCTTGGGCATCTGGTATCTCAAAAGTGGTAATACACCCCGTGAGTCGCACATAAGTCTCTTCAGATCGGCTGCATATTATTACTCTGCCTGTTAGTTTTTGTTATTCCAGTATGGTAGTTACTGAATCTCACAAGGAGGGATTGTTCGGGGGGAGGGGGGGGGGAGGTTTCACATAAAAGGATATAAATAAAGGAACGTAACAGGAAGCTTTATTAAACTTGCAGTTGTTCTCCCACTAGATGCAACAAAGCAATGTGTTGAATAATTTCTAGTGCTGCAGAAGAATTAATAGTAAGATTATTAGTCTACTTTTTGTTTCTTGGAATTCCTGTTTTCTGTGGTACCTAGTTGTTCCTTTATTTGTGAACCACCATGCTATTTTGGTCTTTTGATTGTATCTACCTTTAGCACTGCGGGACTGTCATTTTCTCTACTCTGCTCCTGCATCTACAGAGATGTGAGCGTAGGTAGGTTAAAAACGACTTTGTAACCCTAAATACAGGGACTATGATTATCAAGTGCTAAAAAAGAGTGGTCAGCTTGATTAGGGACATGCTCTGAACATATGTGCTATTGTAACATACACAAGCATGTAGGCATTTACAGATTTGTGTCTGAAATAGTTATCTTGGGTCAAAAAAGTCACTCTTATTTTCCCAGTTAGTCCACATCTGTTAATTCATCAGCCCTTACTAACAAGAAAAAGCAGATATAGAGAATCTCACGGATACTTCAGGTGTCATGTCACTGAAGACTTCAGGATGGACACTGTTCTCCAGTAAACAGGGCATGCATCAGAGCAATATAACCATATTAAACTTTGCTTTTGGTATTGAAGATATTGCATTAGCTTTTCACCATGGTGGTCGCTATGAAATCAGTAAAACTCAATCCACATTTCAGTAGGTAACAGTAAATTATAATGAGATCCTGGAGATATTGATGGTGACCTTACATCATTTATTTTACTCCCCCTTTCCCCCCAAGTAACATGAACAGAAATAACTAGATATAATTTTTTCAGTGCAACCATTTGTGCCAGCCAGTGCTGAGAAACATTCCCCTCCCCCCAGACCTGTCGCTACTGGCAATACGTTTTTGAAGAAGTATTTCAACACATCCACTGCACACCTTACCTGGCGTCTTGAGTGCCGGATGGACAGGTAACCTTGGAAGTACAAAGGCAGACCGGTGATCCTCTGCCTCTCCTGGGAGATTCGCCTGGGGGCTGGCTGGGGAATTTCCTCAGGCTGTTCCCTCGTGCCTCTCAGCATCCTTTGGATATCTCAGCAGGATATCTGGGTATCCTCTGTTGCTGCGCTCTTCCTCTTCTCCACTCCTGGTGTTCTTGGTCTGCTCCGTATCAGTCTCAGCCAGAGAACTCACTTCGGGGGGGGGAAGCAGCACCTCGAAGAGGAAGTCTCTGTACTTGCTTTTAGGTCAGTGCATGCCACCAACTCTTTGCTTGGCTTATGAACATGGGGAGAACCAGACTGAACGGATTAAAAGGATCTTTGCCTTTAGAGTGTGCTCCTCGGTTTTGCTCGTGGGTAGACATTCAAATGATGAGCATGCTGCTGTAAAAGTGCATCATTACTGTGGTGGGTGTCACCTGGAGGTCACGGTGGAAAAGCCTGCTTTTTTATGCCTTAGAGCACCGGACTCTTCATGGGCTGCTGCAAGGGGAAGGCTGCTCTCAGGTGCCTCTGAAATAATATTGAAATTTTTCATTGGGAGCATGGATTAACTTTGAGGCTATCAGAGTTGAACTTTCTTTAGCAAATAGCTAGGGGGATTACAGGACGCTGAAAGAAATATTGGAAGTTAATCTACCTATGGTTGTTTATAATTGGCAACTTTAAATCAACTTTGCAATGTGCATGCAGGACGAAGATTTGCATTGTGAAAGAGCTAATATACCAAAGCTTTAAAGAAACTGCCAAGGGAGATGGTGGTTCAGGAATGAAATGTTGGTTGTGATGAAATGGGGGATGAAATTTCCATCGATTTCACAGAACTACGATGTTTAACTTAGTTTCTGTCCTTCCCCTTAGCGGTCAGAAAGAATAGGAATGACAAGACTTGGTGTTTTGATGCTGGTTGCTGCTAAATACAAAGCAAATATTATTAAAAAAAATAGACTTGTTTTATTATTGAACATTTTTATGGTCTTTGCTGTGTGTAGACATAAGATGATAATTAGCCAGTGAGGTGATGTGTGACAGATCAGAGCCAACCAGCTCTAGAAGAGGGGTTCAGCCCTACGTGTGAAAGTAAATTCTGAGGGGGGTTGAGGGCAAGTACATGTTCTCCGATTTTGGCTGAACTGTGGATTTTTGTGCATGTTCTCTATTGATTGTGTTTAGATGGCAGAATTCCACTTGGCTGTTGAATGTTGCAAAAGAGCCAAGGAACGTGAGTCCCCGCACCTTCACCTGGCGAGGCTGACGCCGGCAAGACAGCACCTAGTCCACTGCTCGCCCGTGTGTGATTACAAAGCGTCATTTGAAATTGTATTTTTGGGCTGTGTTTTGCAGATACCGTAAGATATTGTGGCGTTATGTTCTCAAGCGGTTGTTTTCGCTCGTTGTTGAGTTCTTCACTAACGTTTTAAAGAAAACAAACAAAAACAAGACCAAAAAACCTGCAACCCCTTGTGGTGACTGTCGGTGTTTTGTAGCGTTTAGAAACTCGAGGATCTGAACAGGCCTTTCCCACCAGGGGGAAAAAAAAAAAAAAAAGAGAACGGCGACCGCCGCCTTCCCGCCCGCCCCCC